TGCACTGACTCAGCTGTGATGGTCATTTTTGAGTTTTTAACAAGCTACAATTATTCTATATAAAGGAGTCCAACTAATGATCTTCCCATTGAGAATTGCAAAAAGGTTGCCACAAAAGAAAGTTGTGTTTGGTAGACGAATTGGCAATGACATATCCTGCAATTAATTGCACACTTTTTTTTTTTTGGTCATATAAAGATGGAAAAGCTAAATGCTGATTCTCTGATGTGGTGTTACTCCAATCAATGTGACTGTTTGTGCATCTATGGCTTATTTAATTTTACCAGGTCTAAAGTTTTCAACAGCACAAAAGCAACCCTTATCAACTTCCAAAACAGGCATAACTATCTTTATGTCATCTAGAGATAAGAGCTTATGAAGATTCTGTGTAGAAGAATCCAATGGGTTCCTGTATTAGTCATTTTTTTTTCCATAGGAGTGGGGAATCCTCTTGGAATTAAACCACTTAGATCAAGAATTTGAATTTGGATTGGGAAGATCATTTCATATTATATATTGACTGGCATAATGTAATTCTTGATATTATTCAACTCTATGAATGAGATTGGTTTCAAAATATTTATTTAATTAAAAAATTTGTGTGAATTTTTAAACAGAATCATGTTGTACAGTAAATAGAAAGTGTGAAATGACTGTAATAATCACGTGTTCGGTATCAGTATGATTATAACATATAAAATCCTCTTGTGCAAGATAGTGTTCTGTCTCATTCGATTAGCCTTTAATTTTACATTATAATATTTTCATAAATATCTCATTTAATTAGTGATGTACTTTTAATTTCACATTATAATATTTTGGTAAGTATCTCATTCGATAGTATTTTTAATTTCACATTACAATATTTTTGTAAGTATCTCATTCCATTATAATGTGCCAATTGACAGTTTTTTAAAGACCCTTCTAGAGCCATTTCTTAATTAATACTCCCTTTGTTTCAAAAAAGATGTCATACTTTTTTTTTGGTCTGTCCCAAAATAGTTGTCCACTTTCTTTTTTCAAATAATATATTTTACATCTTTTCATATATATCCTTAGAGTTCAAAATTTCAAACTTGAATATAAGAGCAAATTAGTAACTTTTTAATGAGACAAGACATGTCTTACATGTTTTCTTAAAAATTTCTATGTTTAAATTGAAACGGAGTGAGTAATTACTGGTTATGTGCTACGTAAAAATTTGGCAAATAGTCCAAATTTTATGCTATGATGGCAATGGCAGTGAACAAACGGCCGCACTTTTTCACGTGAAAGTCGGTTCAAATGATTTTACTTGCTACAGACAAATTGCCCTCTTATTTTGTTGGTGCTTAATGTGCTGAAATTACCCGCACACCCCAGTGTTAATTTTCAAGTAACAATATCTTGTGATGGAAACATTCGAATCTGTTTACTACTATCAACTCAAATTTACTCTTTTATGCCAATGAAACTCATGTTATGTCTAATTTTTCTGCCATTAATGGTACCAGGTAAGGATCTACAATTTAAGTGTAACATGCAAGCTATGAAATATGGCTAATAATAAAGTCGTAATTTAGTAATACATTTTAACATAAAAAGTTATAATTCAATAATATTTTAAGCAAATAACTCTGAATTGAAAGAGTGAAGTATGAGTCTATATATCTTTCATATTCAACGACTATGATCATGATCATGTTGAATTAATCATGAAGGAAAACTTTCAGCCGCCTCCACCCTTTCCTCTGTTCTCTCTCTTTTCCCCCTCTCTCGCAGCCGCTCAGCCCTTCTGTTTTGCTCCCTTCTATAAGAGTGGGCAGGTGACCTTGCTTGCTTCCCACACGTTAATAACATCGACGTGTCACAATAAGTTTCGCCTTATGGATGGTTTTTCACGTTGTTTTTTATTTTTGTACGGTTAGATCTGCTCTTATTTGGTTTGTTTCCGACTCGACAGGGTGAATCTGTTGTTTTTCCTTCGGCTAAATCTCTGATCTAGGTTGATTTTTATTTTTTCCTGACTTGATTTGCTCTTGTGCGGGGTTGGGTGTGTGGAGTTGCCTTGTGGATGCAGTTTTAAAGTTGTTGCCTTGCTGATGGCAGGCCTTTTGGTCACTCCAGTTGCTACTCTTTTCCCTTGGTGGTTTCCGTTCTAGAGCGGTGACTCTTTTTCAACAAATCTAAAGCCTGTTCTTCATTTTATTGTATTACTTCATGATTTGCATGCCTTTATCTAGCTTGGCTTATGCATCTGTACTGTCACCTTGACTTGGTCTTTATGTCTCTTAAATAATAAAATAAAATAAAACAAAATAAAAATAATCTTGAAATTTTGATTATGGCATAAATTGAAAATGATTTGACGTCTAGTTTGAAATACAAAAAAAATAATAATAATAATAAATATATCCTCCAACTTGGAAGTATGTTTTTTCTTATCTTGGAAGGATGTTTGGGAATACAAATTTCTTAGCCGACATCAAAAGGGGTACTACGTATGATGACTAAAAAATAATTTATCAAATTTGGGCTTGTTAGTTCTTAGTAATACATGTATAGATGCGAATGGCACACCAAACCACCGCTTTGGTGGTCTGTCCCATCATACGTCCAAAATTTTGGCTTCTTTTGACGACATTATGGCATATCAAAGGAGGATATTGTTTTCATTGTCCATACTCATCTTTAACTTAGCTAAAAATATTCATTTACTAATATTATTAACCTTTTGAAAATACACACCTATATATATATAGAGAGAGAGAGAGATATTCATTTAATAGTACTGAAACCCAACAACGGGAGAGAAAATACACACCTATATATATATATATATAGAGAGAGAGAGATATTCATTTAATAGTACTGAAACCCAACAACGGGAGAAATATAAGCTTTTTTGTTATATTCATTTAATACTACTGAAAGTCTGAAACCCACAACTTCTTTTGTTATTTTAATTTTTCACGCCTGTAAAAATATCCTTGGTCGTGAAACCCAACAACGAGAGAAATAAGAGAGGCAAAATATGTTTAAGCAAATTGTGTTTTCAAAAGGTGAAAGCTCAACAAATACATAAATAAAAGTATTGAATTAAATATTATCAATAAATATCTCTATATTTTTGTATTAATTATCTTAGTTCAACACTCCTCCTGACACCACGCTCAGGGATGTCAATTTTTACCGCCCCGCCGGGGCCCCGCCCCGTCTCGCCCCGTTAACAACGGATATGGGAACACTTTTTATACCTTTGGGGCGGATATGGACACAAATTTTGTACCCGTCGAGAGTCATGGGGCGGGTAAGGGTTCAATATACATATCCTAGGGGCCCCGCCCCGCCCCGCCCCGCATATAACTATATTTAATATATATATATATATATATATATATATATATATATATATTAATAAGTTATTTTAGCGGCTTACCCAATTACCCATCTCTTATAATCCTAATTTGGGATGTAAACTTGGTATTAAATTTGCTTTTATTTTGGTTATGGTGGAAGTTAGAGTTTAGAACTTCTTATGATTTGGTTGTATTAAACTTTTATTTTTGTTAGCGGGGCGGGCACGGGGGCACAGTATTTCTTAACGGGGCAGGGCTGGACATGAAAATCTAACCCGTCGCGAATCTCGGGACGGGTATGGATTTGACAAAAAGTAAAAAGGGCGGGGTGAGATTTAGGAAAACCCGCTCCAAACCCGCCCCGTTGCCATCCCTACCCACGCTTTAGCCAGACTGAACAACATAATAGGAGGGGATGCACTCTCTCCATTTAGACCCAATTTTTGACCTAGTTGTGCTTGCGTTGGCATTCGCGTAAATTAAGAAATATAAGGTCAATTGGGGATCTTTTACAATAATTGCACAATTAAATAGTGAAATTACCATTTAAGTTGAAATTCAAATTACATATGAACCTCATTTGCAATAAATAAAAAAATAAAAGTTCTCTATTTAATTGTATTTAATATAAATAACTAATAAAAAAATTATTCAGTTACGCATCTCATTTTTTGACACCATTGTGAATTATTAGAGGGACACATCGGGTTGACTTGATGTTTCAAATCTCCCCTCATTTGGGCCCTCTTTAGTACCGAGATGTCTTTATCTACTCAAAAACTTATTCTTCAGAGGCGTGTTCCACGAGCTTCATGTAATAATTTCTTTTAGGAATAAAATACTTGGCCAGAGACCAAAGCCTAAGAACTTGGTGTTTTACAGTGTCCAATGAGCTAATAAATAATTAGATAGTTAAGGATAAAACTGATATTTTATAATAATTTCAGGGTGCATTAGCAGTATTTTATAGGTATATATTAAAAAAAGCAAAAAATAGCATGGTATATTAATTAAAAATAATAATTCAGCCCCCCTCACTTAACATAGGTCCGTCCTTGGATAGTTCACACTGTGTGATCAACCAGTCACAACAAATAATATAATAAAGTGCCAAATTTTTTCAACTTTATGATTATAGGACTTGTAGTGACTTATGGGGACTAATCGCGAGCTGTGTAATTAAATATAGTAGCTTTATGATCACATGGTTTGTTGAGAATCTTGTGATTAATGAAGACCTCATACTCTCGGACTAACTAATAATTATCAAGAATTTTACCTGTGTGTTCGTCATGGTTTCCATTTTGAAGGTTTGGCAGATCTCGTTAATGGGCTCTGAAATTGATCTGGTTGGGAGAATGAGGCAACCCATAGATCGGCCCAAATAAGCTTTGATTCTTGAATGAGAACTCTACAAACCCATCCCAATCCCATGTACCATATGATGAAGCCCGACCCAAACCAAAAGTCAGATCTGACCCACTTTACCCACTTTCCAAAGTTCCAAACGTGTCCTCACATAGTTGCTGCTAAATACCACGTGTTATCACAAGCTTTTGCCGCCAATACTGACAAATAAATCTATACACACGTATCAAGGTGGGACCCAAAAAAAATCACACGTGGAAAGGTGTCAAGCCTCAACGGCCATTGGCACTGGAAAACTTGATCCATACTCTCACTCCTCATCTTCCTCTGCTTCACGAGCAAAACACACTCTATACTTTCACACTTTCTCTACTCTCTTTCTCTCTCTACTGGTTAATTTGTCTGATCACACAAAAACCGCCATGGCGCTTTCAATCCCAGAAGCCACCAATCTGAACAGCACATCCGACGACGGTGGCGGAAACGGTCGCCAACAACCCGACACTCAGTCCTTCGCCTCCGTTAAGGTCCAGGAACTTCCCCACCTCACCGACTACCTCCCACACCTCCAGACCTTAACGAACCCATTAGAGCACAACCCGTTCTACCGTCCTTCCGAAGGCTTCTACCTCTCTCCCTCCGACATCATCCTCAGGCAGATCGTCTACGACCTCGCCGGCAACTTCCCTTTGCAGTCACCCCACCTCGCCTACCATCGCGCCGGCCCGCGGAGGGAGATATTCTTCGACCCGAGTCACGTGAGCGCTGCCATAGTCACGTGCGGCGGACTCTGCCCCGGGATGAACACGGTGATTAGGGAGCTGGTGGTGGCGCTTTGGGAGCTGTACGGTGTGCGTGAGATCTCCGGCGTGAAGGCCGGTTACCGGGGGTTTTACTCTGGCGAACCGGTTCGGCTCGAGCCGGAGCTTGTGCACAGTTGGCATAAGATGGGTGGCACTGCGCTGGAGACTTCAAGGGGTGGGTTTGATCTTGACCGAATTGTCAGTGCAATTCAAGATCGTGGGTTTAATCAGGTTTTGTCTCTATCTATTCTTTACTCTATCTCCTAATCATTTTATAGACTAGTTTTTGAATGCTTGATTTATATCATACACATTAGGTGACTAGCTTCGGTTCCAATTCCTAAGGGCTCCGATTCCAAATTTTAGGAACCGCTAAATTTCAGTTCCAGAACAAAAATTGCATAATAATTATGTATATTATTTTTTTTATTATACAATTACTAATATATATGCCTATATATATATATATATATATATATATATATATATATCTATTGATGCTTGTTTGGATGTAAATGTGGTCCAAGAAATTGCCTTAGTCAGTGTATTGCTAAAAAAAACGTTATTAAAAATAAATAAGGGAACCGAAACCATGGAACCGATTCGGTTCAGTTCTAGTTTGATGCCCCAATAGTTCTAGTTCCGATTCCAATTTCGAAGAACAGTTAGGAACGGATCCGGTTTCTCTAGGAATTAGACCGTGTGCACCCCTAATGCATGTTGTGTTTTGTTAATTTTAAATTTTACCTATTGATTTCTACGGTTTAGAGTTTTATTGTTTGGTAACTTACTTACCCAAAAAAAAGGGGTTGTTATTTTTGGTGTAAGGATAAAAAGATAAGAAGCATTTTCGTATGAGTACGGCGATACGAAAAATCTCAAAAAAAAGTAGGGTATGATACGTCAATAAAAAATTAATAAATTTTATTAATGTATAAAAAAAATAGATTTTTTGAAAATATTATAAATCTAAATGCAATCGTTAACATACAAGTTCGTTTCATAACACATGAAATAAGCATTCCTACTTATCAATATTTTCAAAAAGTAAGGTATGATACCTTAATAAAAAATTAATAAATTTTATTTATATATATAAAAACTTAATAAATTTTATTTATATTTAAAAAAATTAATTTTTAAAAATATTATAAATCTAAATGCAATCGTTAACATAACATACAAGTTCGTTTCATAACACATGAAATAAGTATTCCTACTTATCACTTAATAAAATTTGAATTTTTTTTAACAATTATACTATGTTATTATTGTTGAAAAAATTGCATTTTAATATTCAAACTTGATAAAAATGTGTTATAAATTAAGTATCTGAAATGTGTTAGATATGCAGTTGAAATACCTAAGAAGTATCGGATACGTGTTAGAAATTATAAAATATATCTTAAAATTATGGATACGTTTAATAAGTATCAAACACATATCCACGGGTATCCGTGTAGGATCGGTATCTGACACGTATCCAACATGGTTACATTGTTGTCCTAGAATTATCCATACTTCCTAAATAAAAAGTCAAAGCTCTAATTTTAAAAGAAAAAATTTGTGTTTTAAGTTATGTATTGATAAAAACTCACATGAAACAAGTAGTAGTTTATGGGTGTCATAGCATTTTACAATGATAAACACTGGAGCTCACAATTGCATGGATGCGGAATTGGTGTAAGGATAAAAAGCTAAGAAGCAGACACGATACGGGTACAGCGATGCAAAAAATCTCAAAAAAACAATACGACATGAGACGTCAATAAAAAAATTAAGAAATTTTATTTATATGTATATATAAATTAATTTTTTGTCAATTTTTTGAAAATATTATAAATCTAAATGCAATCATTAATATAACATATAAGTTTGTTTCATAACACATGAAACAAGCATTCCTAGTTATCACTTAATAAAATTTAAACTTTTTTTTAACAATTATACTATTTTATTTTTGTTGGAAAAATTGCATTTTAATATTTAAACTTGATAAAAACGTGTTATGAATTCAGTATCTGAGATATATTGGATACGCAGTCGAAATACCTAAGAAGTATCAGATACGCGTGTTAAGAATTATAAAATATATCTTAAAATTATGGATACGTTTAATAAGTATCGAATACATATCCGCGAGTATCTGTGTAGTATCGGTATCTAACACGTATCCGATACTGGTACGTTGCTCTCCTAGAAGTATCCGTACTTCCTAAACAAAAAGTCAGAACTCTAATTTTAAAAGAAAAAAAATTGTGTTTTAAGTTCTTGCAATGATAAAAACTCATATGAAACCAGTAGTAGTTATGGGAATCGTCGCTCTCTACAATGATAAACACTGGAGCTCACAATTGCATGGATGCGGAATTGAATTGATCAAAGGTTAAGTTGTTTCGAGTATTTCCCTCCTAACATTTTACTTGGGTTGGATAATTAGACCTGTTAATGGATGGAATTTTTATCCAATTTCGATTCAAATCCAATATGATAACTTTGATATGGTTTGAGAATTTAATTCGATAACCAGTTAACTAAACAAAACGGATATGAATTATCGGCAATTCAATGCAATAGTAATTACAAAATGGATATGGATTTACCGGCAATTCAATGCGATAGCAATTCAAATTCACTTAATATATTATTTAATATATGGGGAGGGGAGGGGAGGGTGGAAGGCTTGAACACGGGGAGCAACCTAATCACTCGGGTAACACAATACCTTCCTTCCATCACAAATATATATATATATATATATATATATATATATATATATATATATATGTATATATTATCATAACAAGTGTAAAATATCTAATTTTCTTTCATTAAAGGCACAATTTTTTTTTTTTTTTTTTATCTTAATCATCCACTTAGGGAGATAGAGGAGATACCACTAGGTTACATAGGTTACAAGCGCCTTGGTCAATTAAAGGCATCTGCGATATTTATGTTCACTAATAGTATTAAGTAAAAAAAATGCCATAGTAAATTTACCACCTCTCTTTTGACGTGCTATATTTACTCTTAAAGCATCCTAGCATGTATTTAAGGATGTGTCAAAACAGCATGTGGTATAAGCCACTTCCAAATTGGATATTATAGTTTGGGAGTCTTACCATCATTTGGATATTGTATATAAATTTATTTTAAACTCGTAAATTCTGTTACATTTTATTTGTCAGATTTAGTTTTGAGGCACCAGAAGGCAGATAACAATCAGTTTTTGCTAAGCATTTTAATGTGTCACACAACTTTTAGTTTTTGATGATTGGTGCAGTAGGAAAGAATTTGGAAAAAGTGCTGCCATATACAAAAGCTTTATAAGTAAACTATTTCATCTGTCTTGACATCACTATATTAGATTGAGGTTAAAGTAGTTAAAATCCGGATAAAACATATTTCAAGTGGATGGTAGTATATATACTTTTATTAATACTCAAATAAAATATATACTTATGACTTTCTACATTCTTTTGGTTTTACAAATGACACCGTCAACCTATTTATAGGCATGCTATCGAACTATGTAAAATTCTCCACACTACTAAAATCTACTATGCACTCTACAAATTTCTTTAAGTTCTCTGGTATTATAGAATCTTCTAACTCTCTTTGCAATATTCTACAATCTCCACGCAAATGTGAAAGGCTATACAACTCAACTATGCGAACGGGGCAACCTCCCTGCAAATAGGCAGGTGTGACATTAAGCTCGATTATTTGAATAAGCAACTTCTTTACTCAATTTTCCTCAACCGAGAAAGACAATAAATTAGGGGATTCGTCTTACAAAAGTGATTTAATATTTGCAAAACGATATGTTTCCCCATTCAAGGCAAAATGAGGACTCTTATCGTATTTATATATGATCTTCTTTATGAGATTGTTAACTAACTAATTAACTAGTTTTTGTGTGTTGTTATTCTGACAATTGAACAGGTTTAACTATATAAAATTCTCCACACTACTAAAATCTACTATGCACTCTACAAATTTCTTTAAGTTCTCTGGTATTATAGAATCTTCTAAGTCTCTTTGCAATATTCTACAATCTCCACGCAAATGTGAAATGTGAAAGGCTATACAACTCAACTATGCAAACGGGGCAACCTCCCTGCAAATAGGCAGGTGTGACATTAAGCTCGATTATTTGAATAAGCAACTTCTTTACTCAATTTTCCTCAACCGAGAAAGACAGTAAATTTGTGGATTCGTCTTACAAAAGTGATTTAATATTTGCAAAATGATATGTTTCCCCATTCAAGGCAAAATGAGGACTCGTATCGTACTTATATATGATCTTCTTTATGAGATTGTTAACTAACTAATTAACTAGTTTTTGTGTGTTGTTATTCTGACAATTGAACAGGTTTACATTATAGGTGGAGATGGCACAATGCGTGGAGCTGTAAAGATATTTAATGAAATCCGATGCAGAAAAATGAATGTCGCTGTTACTGGAATTCCAAAAACAGTCGACAATGATGTAGACATCATCGATAGATCATTTGGGTTTCAGACTGCAGTTGAAATGGCCCAGCAGGCAATCAGTGCTGCACATGTGGAGGCTGAAAGTGCAGTGAACGGCATTGGCCTGGTTAAGTTAATGGGTCGTAGCACAGGGCACATTGCTCTCCATGCTACCTTGAGCAGCCGTGATGTGGATTGCTGTTTGATTCCTGAAAATGACTTTTACTTGGAAGGAAAAGGAGGGCTTTTTGAATTTCTCGATAATAGACTGAAGAAAAACGGCCATGCAGTACTGGTAGTGGCGGAGGGAGCCGGACAAGATATGATACCGAGAACTGATGCCCAGAAAGAAGAGAGGGATGAATCTGGCAACCCAGTTTTCTTAGACGTTGGCGGGTGGTTAAAGTCAGAGCTTAAGAAGTGGTGGGCACGAGACCATCCAAATGAGTTATTTACTGTAAAACTCATAGATCCCACATACATGATACGAGCAGTCCCTGCAAATGCCACTGATAATCTGTATTGTACACTTCTGGCGCATTCGGCAATTCATGGTGTTATGGCAGGGTACACTGGATTTGTCTCTGGTCCTATCAATGGCAGCTATGCATATATTCCGGTGGATGAGGTAGCAAAGTCTAGAAATGAAGTTACCACAAAGGACCATAAGTGGGCATGGGTCAGATCGATCACAAATCAGCCTGATTTTTCGAGGAGCTAGATCTCAAGACCTCAACATTTTACAATGGCTTTCTTTCGGATAGAACTGTTCACCAAAGTTAAAGTTTGCAGATTATCTTCGATATGCTACCCATTGTGGGTAGTCTCAAAATTATGCTGTCACAATGATTATGTTTGGTAATGTAGTTAGACAATTGAACATGGCTGCAGTTAGACAATTGGACTGGCAAAGTAAAATTGAGAGGGAATGGTTATGTTTGGTATCATTTGTGAGTAATCTCTCTGCCAAGATATTGCAATAGCAAATGTAGAGCATGATGTTTACTAAGATAAATCTGTGGCTATATATATTGACCACCACTAGGACTTTTCTATGAATTCATGTTTGCTTTCATGATTCTCAGGTATCTAGAGGGTCACATACTCACATTTGTTACAAGTATTGTTAATGTGGTGCAATGTGATACATGTGTGTGTGTGTGTGTCCATATGTGACAGATATCTCAAAGGTATTGAACAATAGGAAACAGTTATCTCGATCTCCAAATTCTTCTACATACTATGACAGAGTCTCATGCACAGTGTGAACACTTTATTGAACCAGCTATTTGTTAGTTGAGGACATGAATTATGTGATATAAAGTGGATGATTAAAAGGTCATAGGTTTCAAGATTATGTTTAAAAAAGCAGTGGTAGGAGGTAAGCATGTGCACCGACTCAGCTGTGATGGTCATTTTTGAGTTTTTAACAAGCTACAATTATTCTATATAAAGGAGTCCAACTAATGATCTTCCAATGGAGAGTTGCAAAAAGGTTGCCACAAAAGAAAGTTGTGTTTGGTAGACGAATTGGCAATGACATATCCTGCAATTAATTGCACACTTTTTTTGTCATATAAAGATGGAAAAGCTAAATGCTGATTCTCTGATGTGGTGTTACTCCAATCAATGTGACCGTTTGTGCATCTATGGCTTATTTAATTTTACCAGGTCTAAAGTTTTCAAAAGCACAAAAGCAACCCTTATCAACTTCCAAAACAGGCATAACTATCTTTATGTCATCTAGAGAGAAGAGTTTATTAAGATTCCGTGTAGAAGAATCCGATGGCAGAACTTGTGTGGTTACATCCTCATCATGGTATTTACACCATCATGGGTTCCTCTACTAGTCATTTTTTCCATAGGAGTGGGGAATCCTCTAGGAATTAAACCACTTAGATCAAGAATTTGAATTTGGATTGGGAAGATCATTTCATATTATATATTGACTGGCATAATGTAATTCTTGATACTATTCAATTTCATGAATGAGATGGGTTTCAAAATATTTATTTAATTATAAAATTTGTGTGAATTCTCGACAGAATCGTGGTGTACAGCAAACAAGAAAGTGTGAGATGACTATGTGACACAATCATATGTTTGGTATTAGTATGATTCTAACATCTAAAATCCTCTCCTGCAAAATAGTGATCTGTCTCATTCGATTAGCACATGGTTCCTAATATCGATTATGGTTGCGGTCGTGATATAACGGATTCGGATAAAATTAGTATAAATTAACTGATACGAATCGCATATCTAACGTAAAAAAAAAAAAAAAAAGTAACGTACCAAACGATACGACAAACCATCACAGATACACCTTCAATTTCATATTAAAATAAGTGCGTGAGTATCTCATTCGATTAGCGATGTACTTTTAATATCACATTATAATATTTTTGGAACTTACATATATGAAACTTTTTGGAAGCAATCGAATTTTGTTCCATTATAATGTGCCAATTGTCAGTTTTTTAAAGGCCCTTCCGGAGCCATTCTTAATGAATTATTACCGGTGTACATGCGCTGCGTAAGAATTCGGCAAATAGTCCAAATTCTATGCCATGATGGCGATGGCGATGAACAAAGAGCCGCACTTTTTCACGTGAAAGTCGGTTCAAATGATTTACTTCTAGTTACACATAAATTGCCCCTTAATGTGCTGAAATTACCCACACACCCCTGTGTTAATTTTCAAATAATATCTTGCGACGGAAGCATTCTGAATCTATGAACGGCGATCAACTCAAATTTACGCAGGGTGTGTGGGTAATTTCAGCAATGGTACCAAGTAAGGATCTACAAATTAAAGCGTGACAAGCGAGCTATGAAATTCGGCCTATAATAAAGTTTAATTTAGTGATACTTTTTAACATAAAAAGTTATAATTCAATAATATTTTAAACAAATAACTATATATATATATATATATATTTTTAAAGAGTGAAATATGAGCCTATATCCTATAAAATCATTCTTTCTTCTTCCATATTGAATTAATGTAAAATTTTGATTATAATATAAATTAAAAATGATTTGACATACCCATTTTACTTTGAAATACAAAAAAAATAATAATAATAATAAATATATCCTCGAAGGACACATCTCTTAGCCGACATCAAAAGATGTACTTACGTATGATGACTCAAAAATAATTTATCAAATTTGTGTGTTTGTAACCTTAGTAACACATGTACAGATGCGCGAATGGCACCCCCAAACCACCGCTTGGTGGTCTGTCCCGTCATACGTCCAAAATTTGGCATTATCGCATATCAAAAGGAGGATATTTGTGTCATTGTCCACACTCATCTTCAACTTAGCTAAAAATATTCATTTAATATTATTAACCTTATGAGAGAAAACACACACGCACACACTTATTTAATGCTACTGACTAGATTAGCAACATCTACATTCCGAGAGTCTCTTCAGCCACTTAAACCATTTTATCGGTTACTCTCCCCTGTTCCCCCAACTCTGACTAACCCACAACTACAATCACTACAATAACCAAAACCCTTTGAATGAACGAGTAAAACTGATATTGGGACCCTCCAAGAACCCCTGAAATCTCGATTTCCGAGGGAAATGGCGGAAACCCAGTTGGCACCAGTGGCGGTGGTGATGGTGGTGGTGGTGGTGTGGAGCTCGTCGGCTATGGTGGCGGAATCGGGCATAGGGGTCAACTGGGGAACCATATCGTTCCACAAGCTATCACCTTCCACGGTTGTGGATCTCTTAAGAGACAACAAGATAGGGAAGGTGAAGCTGTTCGATGCCGACCCAGATTCGATGAGGGGTCTGAGGGGAAGTGGGATTGAGGTCATGGTTGGGATCCCCAATGAGATGTTGGCCGTCCTCAGCTCCTCCGCCGCCGCTTCCGACTTCTGGGTTCGCCAGAATGTGTCCGCTTATATGGTTAAGGGCGGTGTTAACATCAGGTCTGTCTTTGGGACTCTCTCTCTCTCACTTTTTGCTTGTTCCTTTTCTGTTATTATTCTTGTTTTGTTGAGAGAAAGGAAGAGGAGGATACTTAGTTAATCAGAGTTAGCGTTCCCACCCTACTACAGTTATGAGATTCTTGGGCTTAAATTTGTAAAATAATTAATCCTATCTTGTCATAAATTTGGGAAACAACTAATCCTATATCTCGAATCTAACTAACAATGGAAATCATCTGTTGAAATAAGTAAAATTAATTGAAACAGTGCAAAAAAAAATCTGTTGTAATTTGCTGCTTTAGAATGATGAAGGCAAGCTACAATAATGCTATTGAGACCTGCTAAAAACTCTTTGATGGTTAGGTATGGAAGTGAGTGAGATTTTTCACTCCCCAAAAGTTCATTAACACTCAACTTGCACTTTTTAATAAAGAAAATAACATACTTATTCCTCAAAACTGGAGTGTAACAGTACGTTTTGGGACAACACTTGGTTTAAATGAAAATTTGGTATGTTTAACACGGGACCACCACAACTCAATCATGCTGTGAACGCTTGTTATACAAGACAATACTTGGTTTAAATGAAGAAAAAATAGTAGGCCAGTTGCATTAGTATATATAATTTAATAATTGTTCTATTTCATTTTCTATGGTATGCAATTGTTAATACAGAATTTAGGAAGTTGTTAATCAAAGTTCTATCCTTTTCGTTTATAATAGAAATATGCAAATAAAAAAATTTATTTGCTCAGTGTGGCTTGCCATGTCTATATCCTATTTTTTTACTTTGTCATGTCCACAACATGCAGTTGTGTCGGAATGTATCCAATTCTCATGTCTGAGTCAATGATATTTAGTTTGGATAAAAGAGAGGCGAGCAGGAGAAGTTAGCCTTGGGTTTTAGAAATTTTGCTCATTTGAATAAAAAAAAAAGTATAAGCAGAATTAAGAAATGAACTATTCGAAATCTCACAATTCAGGGGCCACACTAGGTTGAACCTATGTTGAGAGTGAATTGCCCATGTTGATGCGGATCACGTTACTTATGCTAGGCGTAGGCGGCTACGCACAGATACCCATAGGCTAGGAGGCGGCAACTGGCGCTAGGTGGCGACAATTGCACCTATATTGGGCAACGACTACATGAGCTAGCATCAACACTTATTTCAATACTTTGTGTATTCTTTTAGTTATTAAGGATTTAACTTTTTGGTGCCTATAAACAGGCATATATGTATCGGTCTATTAGTCATGTATGTTCAAGTTTGATTGAGTCAATTGAGATTGTATTCTTCTATTCTCCTACTTTCTTCTCCCCCAATTATTCACTCTCTCTCTCTCTTCCTCTCCTGCCCTGCATCACATGTCAAAAGGAATATTTGGACGGGATGCCAACCGGCACGTTAATTTTGTTGTTGGAACAATTTTAAATTTTTAAATTTCAAATTCCAGAAAATATATATATATATATATATAGAAATTAAAAATTTTTGCTACTTCATTTTCAGACAAACTTTTTATGTATTAAAAATCAGATATCAATTAGTGGTTTGTTAATGAATATCATGAGTTCCATATTTGAACAAGCTATTTCATTGTTACAATGTCTTTACAGGTATGTTGCAGTAGGGAATGAGCCCTTCCTTACAAGTTACTCTGGTCAATTCCAGTCCTATGTCATTCCTGCTTTGATGAATCTTCAACAGTCCTTGGCCAAAGCAAATCTTGCCGGCTCCGTAAAGCTAGTGGTCCCTTGTAATGCTGATGCCTATGAGGCTACCCTCCCTTCTCAAGGAGCCTTCCGTCCTGAACTGACCCAAATTATGACTCAGCTTGTTTCATTCCTCAACTCTAATGGTTCCCCATTTGTGGTCAATATCTATCCATTTCTAAGCCTTTTTGGGAACTCAGATTTTCCACAAGACTATGCTTTCTTTGAGGGGACAAACCATGCTGTGACAGATGGATCAAATGTTTATTACAATGCATTTGATGGGAATTATGACACTTTAGTTGCAGCTCTCAGCAAACTTGGGTACGGTCAGATGCCCATAGTTATAGGGGAGGTGGGTTGGCCTACAGATGGAGCCATCAGCGCAAACCTTACTGCTGCAAGGGCCTTCAACCAAGGTCTCATAAAACACGTTCTAAGTAATAAGGGGACCCCTCTGAGGCCAGGTGTCCCTCCTATGGATATTTATCTTTTCAGTCTTCTTGACGAAGGAGCAAAAAGCGTGCTTCCAGGGAACTTTGAAAGGCACTGGGGGATATTCTCTTTTGATGGCCAAGCGAAGTACCCTTTAAACCTTGGATTGGGCAATGGATTATTGAAGAATGCAAAGGATGTTCAGTATCTCCCGGCTAGGTGGTGTGTGGCAGACTCATCCAGGGATCTTTCTGGAGTTACAAACCACTTTAAGATTGCTTGTAGTGTTGCAGATTGCACTACACTCAACTACGGAGGATCATGCAATGGAATTGGGGCAAAGGGAAATATCTCATATGCATTCAACAGTTACTATCAGATGCAGAAGCAGAATTCACAGAGCTGTGATTTTGATGGCCTTGGGATGGTGACTTTCCTAGATCCGTCAGTCGGCGATTGTAGATTTCTTGTTGGGGTCACTGAAGATAAATCTTCAAGTATTGTTTTGTATGGTAGGGGGGTCATCATTTTGTTTTCTATTCTTTGGGGGTTTTGGATTTTTGTCATGTGAAAAGAGGTTAAAAGGTGGGGGAATACCTTAGTTTATAGCTATTTTGATATTTTGCCAGTTATATCAGGTTTTCATAGACCTGAATATTGTGGTTGTACAACTTGTAGGGTAGAGAATACCATAGTCTAGATCTATTTATATATATATTGCAGGTTATATCAGATTTTCATAGCCGGGTATTACGTGCAACTGGTATGGCAGAGTAAATCGTATGTCTAGAACACTTGATTTCGATAATTTATAATCATTTATGGAGTATTATTTTTCTAAGATGCAGTGTGTGTGTGTGTCTGTCTGTCTGTCTGTGTGTGTTGTATACTTGCATGCTCATGATGATAGTCGAATGTTGTGGTTTGATTGTGTTACAGACTCGAACTCTCATCACACAAATGTATGTCCAACTGTGTCCTCAACTTGTGCATGGATTGACAGTGCTATGGAGCAAAATGATGGCATGTTAGGTCTATCTAGTATGAAAGTTCCCTTCAAGTCTCAAGAACCTTCACATCTTGAGACTTAAAGGGTTCTGAAGAAATGGCATTAAAGGAGTTTCTAAGACAATGTGATTGATCATTGTGGTCAATCATTGTAGATGATCTGAATTTCCACAAAGAAATGCAGTCCACAAATTCTCAATGGCCTGCATTAATTTCTTGTCTAAGTTTGTAAACTTCGGCCAAATCTTCCAGCCAAGTCTAACACCAGTTCAATGGAGGCAGAATCTGAATTCAGTCCACTACTGGTATAGTACCAAATTTTAAAGCCATGGTATTTGCTAATATACACGTCATACACCTATCAACGGGTCGGTGGCCTAGAAGTATCAGGCCCTTATTTTTCAAAGGGAGATCAAGGGTTCAAACCTCATTGGAGGCATGTGTGTGTGAGTACCAATTAGGAAAAACATGTCATACACCAACAATCCTTACATCACAAGGTCAAGTGTGCAAAGTGTGAGCACGCGCAGGCACAGACACACACAAACACACGCACACAGCTTCCATGTTTAGGTTCTCAAGTGGGCATGAAATTCCCTCAGGTCAAAGTGGAAAAGCAACATTTTATTTATTTATTTAAAAAAAAAAAAATTAACTATCATTACTTTATACATCGCTCTAAAAACTCTCAAGTGCCCACATCAAACTTAGTAAATAGAATCAGATTAGAAGGAACCAAGTGTCATTCTTCAGCATTCGAAAAACACAATTTTTTCAAAGATGTACCTAAAAAACCTTGCAAGAACCAGAAGGTTGTCCAAGAGTGCTGACTTAATTGAAGAAAACTATTGTGTTGTTCCAGTAGAAGGCTGTTGAACCTTGAAACGAACTATCACTCATAAAGCTTTATCCTCGTGGTAATATGAATCGCGCAAATTGGACAGAAGGTGAGGTCCCTTCCACATTCATAGCATGTCTGCAAAAGACCTCCATTTCGTTAAAGACTAACCCTAAAATGAAACATAAAACAAACAGACTTGAAATTGTAAGACTGATTTTAGTTTACCTGATGTCCACATCCAAATGCAAGCTCTTTTTTACTCCATGAGCATACAGGACAGTTCTGTAAAGGAAGATAGAACTATCAATTAACTAACTAGGAGAAAGGTTATATATAAACTTGAAGACCTACCCTATTGTGTTGATAACTCTTTGAATGATCCGGAGAAGGTGAATGATGAGCTCCTGAACCTTGTCCAAAGTTGCTTGATATCGGGTACTTTGGATAGGAATTGCTCGATTTGTAGTTCCCTAGTGGAGGAGGGAGAGGATTTCTCCCAGGAATTCCTTTCCGGCAGCTGAAAAAATAAAAGAATCAGTCAACATTGAACACTTGAATATCCTCTCTGCGTAGACATAATTGAAAGAAGAGACTCATACGATACCCCAAAAGTTGGAGGTCTATTGTTGCTTTGTACTGTGAAGGTATTTCCATTAATGCTCCTAGGGCAAAATCTGTCTCCTTCTTCGATGTAGGGATGTTTCTCAACATAATTTCTGTAAAATTCACAAACTGCACGAAACAACACTCAAAATGGTGAATTTAGAGTGGAGCATAAACCATACAACATAAACCATATTAACAACCAAATTGGTTTGTAACCTGGAAATTATCAAAAGTCCTAGAAGGAATGTTGTCATCGAACTGATGCATCATGTCCCACGGTCCATCACCAACTCCAACCAAAACAATCGACAATGGGAATTGACTACAAATGGGAGGATGGATCATAAAATAGAATATGATATACTACTTCATATAAGAGAAAAGTTCAGTAAGTCCCTACCTAGCCTTGACAATGGCATCAATTGTATTTTGCTCTTGAGAACTCAATTTGCCAAAAGTTGTGTCCACGCTTCGTGTCACCTTCCATATTATATCAGAATCAAGATCATTAGATTTACTGAGGAAAAGGATAATAACATATAACAGAGAAAAAGAAAGAAAAGAAAGCACTGTGAATTAGCAAGTGACTTCATTAGCAAATTGATCAAAAAAGAAAAGAACAATCAGAAAAGTGTCAATACATATTTACACAACTCACCTGTCCATCGGCAATGATCAGGAGAACATGATACTGGCCACCACTATTATCAACTATCCCAATAGCAGTTTCAATCATCGGAGCAAAGGATGTCGGTCCTGTAACAAAAATGCCAATACATGTCAAATGAATCTAATAATGGAAGGGGTGGTGGACAAAGTAACATAACCAATTAAACCTACCAGCTAAACGAATCTGTGGAACTATTTCTCTATAACGAAGAAGTGCCTCCTCGAAGCCATTGCAAGGCATATCCTCCGGATAAAAGCTGAAAACATCTTGATCATGTGTAGTTGCTGCAAGGTAGAATAGAGGATGCTAGTACCTTAAGCTTTCAATTTTTCCCAGTTAATACTCGCGCAATGTACAGAATATATTCTACATTTTATGTCTATGACCAACTTTCTATGATTTTAAAAAATCGAAGTTCAAGAATATACTGACCATCACCAAAGCCATAACAGGGAATAAGGTTGTCCTCATCAAAAGCTGAAAGTGTCCTTCCAATGATTGATAGTGCTTGTTCATAAGGATTTTGAAAATCTCCAATGTGATGTAGACTTTTTCGATTGAAAGAACGTGCACCGGTCCATTCGTTGCTTTTTGTGAAATCGATGCCAACAATGAGATTGGAAGATTCCAAACCAGCTTGAGCCAGAGCTCCAGTAACCTAAAATATGTGGTCAAAATTGAGCATTATATTCTCAAAGCTAAGTCTAAAAAATCACTATATAAAATCATCACAACAATCAGCAGAATAAGATTATCATCTGATAATGAAATGCAGAAAGCATATGTCAATTTTGAAAAGCTTAATTTTCATAACCGTATACATATAGCACATGAATGATACAAGAAGAATATTATAACTTGATTTACCTGACAAAGACAATGTAAGACCAATAAATGCATTGTTTGTCATCTACTAATTTATCTAGGGCAAAATGCATTATTAGTAGATATTGATAATTCTGTTTGAGAACTGAAAAGATGTGGGAATTCAATCCAATTTCCGGTGAACGTTGTCTTGAGAAATTTAATGTTTTATATGCACTGCTATAGTTCCAAATTTCTATAGAAATTTCTAAAAACAGGATTGGGGATGCTAACAATTGTATTTGTCTCAGTATCACACAACATCTATAAGAAAATATATATATATAAGGTTGAAAGGAACACAGTAGTATCTACCTCCTCGAGGGATCTATAGTCGTCACCAATTCTCGTATACCTTGACTGCTGCAACTTACTTCTTTTATCAGAATTGGCAAAATTTTCAACATAAGAAGGGTATGGTGTAGAGCTTGGAATCGACGGATAGCCACTACCACTAGAAGCATTGCGGTAATAGCTCTGAGGTTTGGTCTGTTTGCCTCCCATTTTCAAGTTTCAACTCTTAATATCCTTAAGAGAGTGTTCTACTGATCAAGCCCTTCCAATATCAACAAACTGCACATTGGATTACCACAATATTATCATTTTCTCCAACCGTGAACATTTTACTTTCAAACAGATTTCATACACAATAAGAGTACGGAAATTTTACTTTTGAAGTTTCATGACAAAATTGTATCTTCAAAACATACAATTCTTTAGAAGTATGGAAATATGAAAAATGGACTCTGCAACATTCTCTGATTAAACTCAGGTATTGTAGGCATTCCCTCATTTCCATCCCGAAGCATTTTTTATTTATCATTTATCGAAAAATCCCATTCATTATTGGCCCATTCTTCTAGATGATCTAGTAATGATGGAGTTTCTATTTTATTTACTGAATCACATGAAATTTCACCCAACCCCATATATTTAATGGGATGTATGAAATACGTATGAGCAGAGGAATAAAGAGAATTTTCTACTCAAATTGGAATTTGCAACAGATACAATGGAAAGAAATTGATAAAAGATTCCTGGAAACAGAATTCGGACTTATTATGTTATGGGATTTTGTATAGAATATCAAAATAAAAGTGATTCTAAAGTATAAACGGAAAATCTTCTTTGCAGTTCTTTGGAACAAGAATTAACATCAACCCACCATATCATTTTCTTTAATAAAAAATAAAAAAACACACGCAACACACACTAGACTATCATCCAAATGTCATGACAAACAACCCAAGTACAATTCCAGGTCTAAAATAAAAGCTTTCAAACAGATTTCATACACAATATTAAACATAAATACTAGTTCTTCAAATCTGAAAAGAGATTTCTATTTTTTTTTCAGTAAATAAATGTGAAAAAGTTGCTAACCTGGGACACCATTAATAGCTGAAACGAATCATGGTAGAAGAGAGAGAAGGGATAGTAGTTTTAGGCAAATAATATGTATATATATATAAGTAAACTTAAAATATTACAAATTCAAGAATAAACTAATGGTAACCCAATTGACGAAGCATAGAAAAGGGTTGACTTGGTTTGTTTTTTCTTCTGACAATAACAGTTTTCCTATCTAATAATTACGGCTTTAATCAACTTTTTATAAGAAGCTGCAGAGAAATTTCTTTAAGTAACAACAAAATTCCAAAGGAAATTACCAAGAAAGTAGTACCATCCAATCAAAGAATTAAATTAAATCTAGTCAAAAATCAAAATATACCAGAATATTATAAAAATTAATGCCATGATAAGATAAAACATGTATATTTCAACCATAAAAAGCAAAAAGTAGGTCGAAAAAAGTAGTAGTAAGTACCAATTGCCTTCAATACACGACGAGAATGTCTTGGCGGATCTGAAAAATCACAAAGTAAATACAGTATTAGAAGAAGCACACTTTCTTGAAGATAATTATCAAGAAATCATAGAAGATTTTTGATACCTCACTGTTTTTCTTGATTAATAAAAAAAATTATTATTTATGATTAGTCGAGAGTGCTACGTAATCGGTACCTGATCTTCAATACTTTCGCGCTCTATACCTATCTAGATGCAATGTGCATATAATATAATATATTTATTTAATTATGACGAAAGTATACTGAAAATCTAGTTGATTGATTATTAATTTGATTTGGTATGTACACTTCTTATTCTTGTATGATGTATATAGATGTGTTAAAAGTCAATCAATCCTGCTTTATATATGGAGTCGATTGGATAGACGTCAATTCAGTCCGCAAGTCTTCTGTTTTAAATTAAAATAAATAAATTAATTAATTAATTAAAACGTTGTCCTATGCTAATGGAGTTTACCACGCTATACGCCTCTACACAACTTTGCATATATACGAGGAGTTGCGTCACTAAACGCTTCCATGGTTTCCACTCATAATATGCCACGTCAGTCTAAGTTGTAATTAGGTCCGTTAATCATCTAGTATATTTTCAACCTCCAACATTATTATTATTATTATTTTATGATGAAAAGATATATCATTGTATTAAAGTTTTTTTTTTTTTTTTTTTTTTTTGATAATTAAGTTAATTTCAATGATACCATTTGACTAAATATTAAATTGAAATAGAAAATAACTATCACTCATTTATTTATTGTACTTTAATCCTAACATATTAGAAGCTTGAAAGGAATAAATTGTCCATCTCTCTCTCTCACTCACTCTCACGCGCACAACTTTACCCTAATTTGCAGTATCTCTCTATCATATATATATACATGTATACACACATATATATAAATATATACATACACACATATTATACATAGGAATGAAAAAGGCTAGTAAGCTTACTGATTGGAAATCTCTTCCTTTCCCATGTACAACACCACGGTACTCGATGATGTATATAATGTATAAATAATATAGATTCTAAAGCAAACAGTAGTGTAGAAATTAACTTAAGTGAGAAGATGATTATCATTCCAGGAGTTTTGGGTATGATCTCCGCCTTTAAAAAGGTGGCATGTACTAGACATGTGAGGGGCGGAGGCGGAAAATGTAGTGAGGCGGTGGTGGGAGTGGAGGCAGCGGCGAAGGAACATGGCAAGGAAGCTTGAAAGGGAGGTAACTTTTCTGAAACAACGCCATCGAGTGTTTTCTCTCACTAGTCCTGATTAGAGAGAGATTTTTAATTGGATGGACTTGAAATGGGTTTTCAATTAAGTTTTGAATAAAAATTGGCACGGTATGCTATCACAATCATTGGTACTCTTAACCATGAGGTGGCCACATAATTAGACCTTAGAGTACACAGAAAATGTATGCAACCTTCTTTTAGTTTAATTCAATAAATTAATTATTTTCATGTAAAATTTTTGTTTTTTTGTTTAATTATTATGGTAAGTAATTTTCATGTAAAGTATGCCGTCATTTTCCATATATATGTGTATAATTGAAGGAGAAAGGCATGGATATTTTCGTCTTTTAATTAATTTTTTAGGTTAATGAAATTTTGACAAAGTCAACGGGTAACAATGCCTTTTTACATGTAAAAAGTTGTCTGACACGATTAAAAAGTAACTTTTGCGGTGTGAATGAAAAATAGATCAAAGTTTGTAATGTGAGTGATAATTATTTTCGAAAGTTATTTCAATGTAATATTTGGTCAAACCTGGGGGGTGTCACTGAAATTAACCCTTGATAATATTATTAAAATATAAACATGTAAAAATAATATAAACAGAAAAAGGGAGGCCATGTTTTTTTTTTTTTTACAAGACAAGAAGTGTCAGAAGTTAGATTAGTAGATGCAGAGAGTATAAAAGGAAGGTGATATTCGTACTCCACTTTTGTATAATTGCATTTCATTTTTTTTATTTTATTTTTTTTTAAAATAACAAAAAAGTCTTTAAACTCATTAATGCATCTCCATCTCATTTTGTAATACCACATCTACCATTTTCACTGTAGTCTATTTCTTCTTACATTATTTACTTCTTTTTTTTTCTTTTCACAAAAATCCTAGTCTTTTAATTTTATTGTCAAAAGAGTTAGAACTTTAGTTATCAACACTAAACTTAAATATTCAAAATAATTCAAAATTAATTCTTAAAATTCACACTAGAAAAAAATAAAAATCAAACTAAACTAAACTCAAAGCATAAAATAGAAAAGAAATTTATTTAGAAAAATTACCATTTCCATCACCATCCAAATTAATTATTAAAAATCACTTAAGGAAAAAAAATCTAAACATAAATTCAAAACAAAAATAGAAAAGAAAAATAAGAAAAAATAAATAAATTATCATTCTCATACTATTATCATCAAATGAGTTTAATGATTCAAGAAGTTTTAATAGTAATCCAATACTTTTTTTGCTAACAAAATCAATTACATCTTTCAGTAATCTTTTATTATTACCTACAAAGATCAATATAGAAATAGTTTAGAAAGGCAGAAAAAGAGGGATTAACCAAAAAAAAAAAAAGCAAGACACAATATAGTTAATTGGGAAAGAGGAAGAGACAAAAATATCTTACCATAACTAAAAAGGGTAATTGAGGTATTTGAGAAAAATAATTAATAATTTTTTAAGTTAAGGTTAGAGGTGTTATTTCCTTTAAGATTGGAGTGTAATGGTATAAAAATGGAATGTCAATATCCCATAGAAAAATAGTAAAGGAGAGGATGGAAATCCATATTTGAAAGGGGTAGGTAAATATTTGTAAAATATTACTTTGTGCCCTCTTGAAATTTTTTTTCTTTAAAAAACACCTGTGGGAATGAGTTTTTATATATAATTTGTAAAATACTACTTTATGCCCCAAAACTACATTCCGGCTCCGTCCCTTCTCTACTATATATGCATGTACTACGAAGAATAATTCATTTTCATTAATAAATGTCATAATTTGTTTTCTCTAATTTTTTTTAAATTCAATGTTGTTTATTTGTTCTTTGGTTCCACTTTCATGGATTAAGCTTACATAAAAACATAATAAATAATAACTATATTTATCCTAACTCAATTTTTATTCAACTCAACTTTGTTTTGAAAGTAGTTGCTTTTAAGTTCAGTGAATTAGTGTCTTCTGTGAATTTTGAAGCGTCAATTTTGACCCAATACATCTACTAATCTAACATGTGACACTTCTTATTTAAAAAAAAAAAAAAAAAAAAAAAAAAAAAAAAAAAAAACCCTTGTTTGGAACTTTGATGAAATTATTTTATAATACCTACTCAATTTTTATTTATTTTTTAATCCCAAATTATAAAAGTAAAATATAATAATGTAGTAAATTATTCTAATTATATGTTTATGTGAATAAGGTCAAGTTTACAAAAAAATGGCATATATAACCTTGATTTAATGTGAAGAAAATCTGTTATACCAAATGTTTCTAGCAAATCAAACGAATGATTCAATTTGAATTGCTTTTAATATGTTAACTTATAATAATTGAAGTGCAAGTATTTATTGAAAAAAAATAATCTAATTTGCGGTATGAACAAATTTTCAATTAAAATCTCAATTACTGTTAAAATTCTTTTATTTATTATTATAGTTTAATTTTTTTTTTTAAATTTACTTTTATTTAATTATTCTTCAAAGTTGTCCCTTCTCAAATTATTTTCTTGTAAGGCCGATACAACCAGATTTAGCATATCACTGATTGATTACCTTGACTAAATATAAATCAACTAAGGGCTGGTTGAATAGTTTATTTATTTATCTTTAAAAAAGATACATTATCTAAATTCGGAGAATTCCAAACGAGAGGGATGTGAGTGAATGTGTAATCCCCATCTAAACGTAAATAGGACCTCAAGACTGTGTCACTTGTATAAAATAATCTCCTCCTTGGCAGTAACTGATTCTTGTCCACCAGAAATATGTAATTTATGTATTTATTTATTTTTAAAAAAGTATTTCTCAAAATTTGTGTATAAAAGAGTTTGTATTTTATGAAACTCCATTCTTTATATTTATTTTTTGGATAAATAAAATAATATAATGTACTTAAACATGATATATATTTTTAAAATATAGTGGTATAGGTATAGATAGATACTAGTAAATAATTTACAACCTATCTATAAATAATTTACAAATCCCATTTTACTTGAAACATTGTTCAGTTCAATGAATGCACTCACTCACACACGCACACACAAACACACACAGAGGGGCATGAATTTCCCTCAGATCAAAGTGGAAAAGCAAATTGCTTAATAACAGGGACTAACAATGACAAACCATTACTTGAAAACATTTTCTTTAATTTTGCACAAATCCCATTACTTAAAACATTGTTCATAAAAAACTTCAAGTCCCCACATCTAACTTTGCAAATAAAATTGGACTAAAACAAACCGTGTATTAGTCTTCACTATTTGGAACACTTGGTATTTACAAAGATGATGACAACAACAACCACAACCAAGCTTTTTTCCAATTACTCGAGGTCGGCTACATGAATCTTATGTTTCCCGATTTACAAAGACGTACCTAAAAAAACCTTGCAAGAACTAGAATGTAATCCAAGAGGGCTGATTGAATTGAAGCACACTTCATTGTGTAGTCCCAGTAGAGTGGCTGTTGAACCTTCATAGTATCACTCAAAAAGCCTTATCCTTGTGGTAATACAAGTCTGACAAATCAGACAGAAGGCGAGGTCCCTTCCACAATCATAGCATGTCTACAAAAAGACCTCCATTTCAAATTTTTTTTTTTTTTAAAAAAAGATGCAACAAACAGACATTTGAAATTGCAAGATCGTTTTAATTTACCTGATGTCCGCATCCAAATACCAGATCTTTTTTTCTCGATAAACATAGAGGACAGTTCTGTAAGCAAAATAGAACTATCAATTAACTAAATAGGAGAAAGGTTATATATGTGATCATGCAGACCTACCCTATTGTGTTGATTACTCTCTGAATGAGCCATAGAAGGCGCATGATAAACGCCTGAACCGTGTCCAAAGTTGCTTGACATTGGGTAGCTAGGATACAAATTGCTTGAGTTATGGTTCCCTGGTGGTGGAGGCAGAGGAATTCTCCGCGGAGTTCCTCTCCGGCAGCTGCCAAAAAAAAAAAAAAAGATCAACATTGAACACTTGAATGTACTCTCTACTTAGACCATAACTGACAGAAGATACTGATATAGTGATATGATACCCCAAAAGTTGGAGGTCTATTGTTGCTTTGTACTGTGAAGGTATTTCCATTAATGCAGCCAGGGCAAACTGTGTCTCCTTATTTGACGTAGGGATGTTACTCAACATAATTTCTGTAAAATTCACAAACTGCACGGAACAACAGCCAAATGATGAATTAAGAGTCGAGCATAAACCATACAAGATAAAGCATATTGACAGCCAAATTGATTTGGAACCTGGAAATTGTCAAAAGTCCTAGAAGGAATGTTGTCATCAAACTGTTGCATCATGTCCCACGGTCCATCCCCGACTCCAACCAAAACTATCGACAACGGGAATTGACTACAAATGGCGGGTTGGGTCATAAAATGGTTTATGATGGACTATTTCATTCATATAAGAGAAATGTTTAATAAGTTCTTACCTTGCTCTCACAATGGCATCAATTGTATTTCTCTCTTGAGAACTCCATTGGCCGAAAGTACTGTCCACGCTTCCTGTGACCTTCCATATCATTTCAGAATCAAGATCATCAGATTTAATGAGGAAAATGATGATAACATATGACTTTATTAACAACATATTCTTCCCACTTCGAGCATCAGAGTAAATGAGGAATTTTGATTAAGAAGAAAAGAAACAATTAGAAAAATGTTGATACATATTACACAACTCACCTGTCCATCAGCAATGATCAGAAGAACATGATATTGGCCACCACTATTATCAACAATCCCAATAGCAGTTTCAATAATCGGAGCAAAGGATGTCGGTCCTGTCACAAAAATGCCAATAAATGTATATATGAATCAAATAATGGAAGGATGATGGTAGACAAAGTAACATAACCAATTAAACCTACCAGCTAAACGAATTTGTGGAACTAATTCTCTATAACGAAGAAGTGCCTCCTCGAAGCCATTGCAAGGCTCATCATCCGGATAAAAGCTGAAAACATCTTGATCATGTGTAGTTGCTGCAAGATAGAATTGAGGATGACAACAGTACCTTAAGCTTTCAATTTTTTCCCCAATTAACACTAATGGATGCAACTACAGAATTCTACATTTTATGTCTATGAACAAATTTCTACGATATAAAAAAATTGATGTTCAAGTTTGTACCGACCATCACCAAAGCCATAACAAGGAATAAGGCTGTCCTCATCAAAAGCTGAAAGTGTCCTTCCAATGATTGATATTGCATGTTCATAAGGACTTAGATCATCTCCAAGATGATGTAGACTTTTTTTATTGAAAGATCGTGCACCGGTCCATTCGTTGCTCTTTGTGAAATCAATGCCAACAATGAGATTGGAAGATTCCAAACCATCTTGAGCCAAAGCCCTAGTCACCTAATATGTATGGCTAAAATTGAGGATTAAATTCTCAAGGCTAAGTTTAAACATTCACTACATAAAAAATCATCACAACAATCAGCAGAGTAAGATTACATCTGATAATCAAATGCAGAAATCTTTGAATTAGCTGATAAAGACAATGTAAGACCAACAAATGCATTGTGTCTTCACTTTTCGTTTTTGTTGTAAACTCAAGTGCATTTGATTATCATTAGCTAATTTATCCTAGGGCAAAATGCATTACTAGTATATATTGATTCTTCTATTTGGGAGCTGGTAAAGAAGAGGGAATTCAATCCAATTTCCGGGTGAACCTTGTCTTGAGAGATTTAATGTTTTCTATGTGCTGCTATAGTTGATACAAGTTACAAGATGTACAACATTTATGCGTTGCAGTATTCAAACAATCTATGATCATCTTCCAAATCTCTATAGAAATTTCTAAAAACGGGATTGGGGATGCTAACAATTGTATACATCTCAGTATCACTAAAAAAAAAGGAAGTTGAAAGGAACACAGTAGTATCTACCTCCTCGAGAGATCTGTAGTTGTCACCAATTCTCGTATACCTTGACTGCAACCTACTTTTATCAGAATTGGCATAATTTTCAGCATAAGAAGGGTATGGTGTAGAGCTTGGAATCGGCGGAGAGCCACTACCAGTAGAAGCATTGCGGTAATAGCTCTGAGGTTTGGTCTGTTTGCCTCCCATATTTCAACTCTTTCTATCCTTCGACAAATTTTAGCAGCTCACCTTCGAAATATGGCACAAACTGCACATTGGATTACCACAACATGATCATTTTCTCCAACAATAAACATTTTAATTTGAAACTTATCAACAACAACAACAACAACAACAACAAAAAAAAAAAAAAAAAAAAAAAAAAAAAAAAAAAAAAAAACACATTTTGATTTGAAAACATATATTGTTCCTTGTTTCATGGCTAAATTGCATCCTCAGAGCATACAATTCTTCATACGGGTGGAAATTAGAAGACCAAGTGATTCTGCAACATTCTCACCAACAAATTACTCAAATGGTGTAAAAAGTATAGATGGGAATTCTTCTTTGCAGTTCTTTGGAACAAGAATTGACATCACCCCACCATATCCATGTTCTTAATAGGGGAAAAAGAAACAATTCCTTAGGGGCATGATTAGGGGTCACTGGTGGAGGGAACCGTTCGTGATTAGTCAGGGCAAAGTCCCGGACACCCCAATATAAAGAAAATAAACTAAATAGTATGCTATTCAAGATTTTGTTGAAAATTTGAAGAAAATGAACAGAGTATCATCCAAATGGCATGACAAACAACCCAAGTACAACAATTCCAGGTCTAAAAACAAAGTTTTCACACAAAATAGGAGTACAGTAAACAAAAATACTAGTAGTTCAAATTAATCTGAAAAAGTTATTTTTTTGGGTAAATAAATAAATCTGAGAAAGCTGCTTACCTGGAACACCCCTATAACAAGTGAAATGAATCCTAGGAGATGATATGAATATGAATGAACTTAATATAGTACAAATTCAGGATTTATCTTAATGGTAACCAAATTGAGTAAGCAATAAACAAAGACTTACATGAATTGAAAACAATGGTCAACTTTTGTTATATATAGATGCCTTTCTGACAATAACAGATTACCTACCTTAAACAATGGTCAACATTCTCACCGCGTTTCAATTTAAATTCTTGTTTAAGTGTTTTTTTTTTTTTTTTTTTTTTTTTGGGGGGGGGCGGGGGGGGGGGGGGGGGGGGGGGGGGGGGTGTAAATGACTTGTACAAGTTATAAGAAGCTACAGAGAATTTTCTCCAAGTCAAGGGGGGGGGTGTAAATGACTTGTACAAGTTATAAGAAGCTACAGAGAATTTTCTCCAAGTCAAGTGAGACTTCTTCACGAAGCTTCAAAACAAAAAGGTTCCAAAGAAATTCCCAAGAAAGTACAATTCAATCAAAAATCAAACTATACTAGAAGAAGGTTCGAGAATTTCTCGAGAAAAGGAATGCCGACATGATATGTAAACGACCCTACTAATATTAAGGGTTTCATGATATCATCATATAGGAAATTATTGACATAATAGGATGGAATGAAAGGGTTATCCTAAATTTTGTTATTTGATTACTAATATGAAATGGCGCATGAATAAGGTGATAATCACTATTCTAGTTTTTTATTCTACAAATTAAAATTTTAGAATGAAATTAATTTTTAAAAAATATTTTTTAATAAAAATTAAATTAAACTAACAAAATAACATCCGCTTCATAATTTTTTTTATAGAAATTGTGACGGTGATTGTGGTAGAAGCCCCGCCGGGGGGGGGGGGGGGGGGGGGGTGGTTGTGGAAGGAATTTTCCTTTCTTCTCAAATTCACTGGGACAAAAGGAATTTTCCTTTCTTCTCAAATTCACTGGGACAAAAGGTAAACTAAGTAGTGTGGGCCCATATTTTCCTAAATATGTATCGAGCTCACCTTGGTATCTCAATGCGGGTGAGAAACCGAGCCTAAAATATCAACAGAAACGGAAGTCTGGCCGGATTCAAATATGAAAGCAGCATGGTAGGACTATATAATTGCCAAAAGCTTATTATACCTTTCAGGCTAAAAGGTACCGAAAGGTGCGTGAGGAAACTGTGGAGCACTATATGTGACCCACAATGCGAAATCTTGCATGGAACACGTACGAGTGAAGACTTTGCCATCAAGCAAAATTGAGTAGGAAATTTAAATGAATGGGAACCTCTTGTCGTTTGAAATTGAGTTTTTGATAAGGAAACTTGCTGTATTTGTATTGAGTTTTTGACCAAATGTGAAAGAAAAATCATTTCAAGTTGGTGTTGGAATTTATATGTCCTATCATAACGAATTTCTATTTGGATTAAAGTGACATGTGTTTCTAACATGTCTAAAATATTTATACTTTATAAAATTGGTGAATTCAATGTATTATATTTCGATTTATTATGGAATTGATAGTGTCCACTTGATTATAAGATATATTTATATATGTATGTAATGGCAATTAATACTCAATTATAAATTAGTAATCATAAATGGTTCAAAGTCGATAATTATGTATGAACATTTAATTAACTAAGACTCGAACCGAGTCCACGATAGGTTGAGATATATTGTGAGAGCCGTCGTATGCAATTGTTTTCTATTACAATCATGGTTTTTAACTCTCAAGTATGAGAGAAGTATAGACTATTTTATTAATTAATAATTACTTTGATTTATTCGGCGGATACTTCGAGATCCTTAGACCGACACTTTGGGTAGTTATGTAATTAATAGTTAGAGGGTTATATTCTCAATATTTGCATCAATGCTACTTGTATTTATTTTGTATTGATTATGATTGATCACAAATTAAATTCGAAGGTCTTCGTATGTTTTAGACAAAATGTTTTCTATATATTTATTTAGTAAATATTATTTTTGTCAAACTAAATTCGAAGGTCTTCGTATGTTTTAGACAAAATGTTTTCTATATATTTATTTAGTAAATATTATTTTTGTCAAACAAGTATTTTATTGTGATCAAACCGAAAATAATTAAAGGTAACAAAATAATTATATTCATTATGTTGTCGGATTGATGGCTTTATAATCCGACAAATAATTATGCATAGAGGAGTTAAAGTGCAACATTGACTTAGAGGTTATTTACTATTTAATTGTAGTGCAATTAATTTATTTTAGTGGAGCAAAAATTAATTTATGAATTAATTGAATTGGGTTCATGGTTTAATGGACCAAACCAATTATTAATTTATAGTAGCCAAGAAAATAGTAAGCCCAAAGAATTCTCACCCATAGCCCAAGTTGATATTAGAGTCCTATTAGAATTGAAATATGTGAAGTAAAGATTGAGAATGACATATTGTTTCCTTTCCTTATCTTTATTTTACCTATATATGCATGGGTCTATGTATATTTTAGGATTGACTTTAGTAAGAAAAAGGAAGATATTTTTTCTCTCTAGTTTTTTAGGGTTTGCTTTCTTTTCTAAAGAGTGCTACCACAAGCCTTACTTCCAAGGTCATTCATCGAGGTATATTGGTGATTCCTAAAGGGAAGATTACTATCAAGAAGAAGGAGAAAGTATCTTGTTAAGGGATCTACAATAATTGAGAACGTTCACTTTAGAAGAAAGATTTAAAGGTTTACTCAAACCTTTTATGTAAGTATTCAATCTATGAATTGAATGATATATCATCTTTTATTTTATTTTTGCATAAAACTTATCTCTGTGTGATGAATCAAGATCTATGTATGAAAATCCCTCAAAAGTTTTTAAAACTTGTACGTTTCCCTACAGTGATATTAGAGCCAGGTTTGGTTCATTATTAGAGATCATGTTTTTTATGAAAATTATCATTCATGGATCTAAATTATATATGCATATATATATTTATTGATGTATGTTGATGTATAATTTAATATGTTGATATATATTGATATATGATGATGATATATCTATAATTGTGAATGGATGATGATGCATTTTTTAGGCCATGGATGAAGCTTATAGGTTTAATGTAATTTTATCTTTGGATGAATGTAATTAAGGCTTTGATTTAGTCATTAGAAAGTTCAATGATGTAATTAATTTAATTATTTTTTATTGTATTTCATATGTATAATTAATTTCAAAGTCATGTAATCTGCATCAATGGGTACTATAAAGCTTCAAAAAGGTCTAAGAGTATTAAATAAGGTCCCTAAAATTTTTTGGAATTTTTTTGGATTTTTCTAGAATTTTTCCAGAATTTTTAGGGCTTTATTTAATTTTTTTTCGTATTTTCTGCAATTTTCGAAGTAATTCCGACGAATTTGCCGTCGGCAATGGCAGTGCCGAAAGAGGGTTACCAGATACGATGCGGCGTGGTACACCTTAGTACCTTGTGCCCGGATCCAAAACCAATGGATCTAGGGAACAGATCCGGTGCGGCGCACCTACACACTAGGCGCGTGGGAACATGTGCTGGATTATGGCTGACGCGACTTCCAAGCGCGTGGAGGCGCTTGCCACGCACTGCAGCGCCCCTCACACACGTGCCAACGCGTACAGGGTCTTCTGGGCGTGCTCCAAGCGCTATTTTGCTTCTCCAGGCGCATACCAACTTCCTACAGGTGTTTACAAGCCGTTGGCTGACGCCCGTACAATAAAAATAGTATTTAAATGTTAAAAGTTAATCCCATTGACCATTTTTTTCTGTTATTTAATCATTTATGTGATATATGGAATAATTAATTGCTAATTATTATTATTCGTGCATTGGATCCATGATTTTTATCTAAATAACTTGATTTATATTAATTAAATTATGAAAATTAATTGAATTTGATTACTAATTAATTAGAGGGCACTTATTGGGAAATGAAAAATTATTTTTGTAAATTATTTTTAAAGTGTGCCTCAAATTAAATACTAATGAATCATTTAAAAGTTCAGATATTTTCTAAATTTAATTGGATTAAAATCAAGGCGTTTTACATGTATTAAATCATGAATTGAAAATAATAATTATAAATAATTAAAAATTGAGTAGGAGCAGGGTTTTTTATACATTACCCAATGGCCTTCGTTATTATAACCATTGTAATTAGATCTTCAAAAATAAGGCCACATGCATGATTTGAATAGTCTAAAAATTACAAGAATGGTTGTCTCATGAAAATAAAAATATTAAATGTTCATTGTAATTAGATCTTTAAAAATAAGACCCTACGCATGATTTAAAGAGTCTAGATTATAATAACAAGATATTTAATATTTTATTTTTCGTTGGAGCATTAATAATGTTATACACTCAATCTAAAATTAATAGTGTTAGCTCACCAACAGAGTGATCTACACTAGGTGATTTTAGAAAAGCTAAACAGAATCGGGAATCATTTCATATATATAGACAAGACATTGTCTTAAGAGATATGAAAATGATGGGATTTGCCTGCCAATAATAATAATGAACTTCGCTAACCGAATAAGTTATTGGCGTATTGGTTATCAGATTTTTCATGCGCAATGGTTAAAGGACCTATAGATATTTTAATGGAAGTGCTCACCTAATAGTAAATAAAATTCAACAATAGTAATAATGAACTCCTCCATTAGAATAAATTATTGACGTATTAATTGTGTGATTTATTAAGCTACGAAGTTGAGCGACCCACATTAATTGAAAGGGATTGTTCACCAATAGTGATATTGAATTCGTATTTTATTGAGATTTATTATACTATGTGGTTGACAAACTCATTTTAATTTTAAATATGCATGATAGTATTAATAAAGTCACCTTATTTATTGTATGAATGTATTTATATTCAGATTTTATGTCTAATCTATTTAATCTACTTGCTAAATATATTCAATGCAATTAGACCTCGTTTATACGGACTGAAAAAGGAACTTAAATATTTTACTCACAACGTAAGGGTACAAAATGTATTTACTACTCCTATACCTAATCCTTTTATTTTAAGATACCCAATTTGACATTAATGCTTTTAATAAGTAAAATAAGGCAAATGATATGACTTGGGGTAATATTCTAGAATTTAT